GAAAGATCTACAAATGAAATTATGAAGGTTCACCAAAGTCATTTAATCTGTCAGTTTCTCATTCATTTTTATGTCTTAATAATATTCTATTGTATGAATAAGTCATCTTTTATTTCTCTCCAGTATTTGATAGCTACAGAAAGTTTCTTAAAGTCAAACACACTATCATGTAAAGCAGCAATTCCATTTCTAGTTTTGTGTCCAAGACAAATAAAATGTTTGCTCCTCCTCCTCCATGGTTGGCTTATTTGTAACAGCTTAAAGCTGGGAACGAAGCCAGGCATTTGGTGTCCGGACACCAAGTGCAGAAACTACCACACGGTCATACAATCAAACACGAACAGGCAATACAAGGTTTATCTGTTGACACACACACAGCATGGATCAATCTCAAAATCACGCTGAATGTGAGCAGCCAAAACAAAGGTATGTTCTGAATGACTCCATTTATATGAAATTCTAAAATAACCTATGGTGGTAAGAGCCACACCTGTAGTGTTTTCTACTGGTGTACAGGGGGCGGGGACAACTAACAGAGAGAGTCACAAAGGGGCACCTGGATTGGTACAACTGTCCTGTGCCTTCATACATATCCTAAGATTGATTAACGTCTACACATTCCACTGTACGTAAACTGTATGTTAATTACAGCATTTAAAGTTGGAAGTGACCCATGTAATTTTAAAAGTCAGATACAGTTTTCAAATAGATAATGCCAACTTGAACCCTAAGATTGAAGAGGGACTATTAACCCATGAGAAAGGGGCGCCAGGATTCTAACAGGGCAATATTTTAATTTGTATTCCAACAAATACTCTTTTGACATCTTTTGATAAAGTATTAATTACTTGGCCTCTACTTAAGAGCAAATATTATTCTCTATTATCCTCCCCTGTGGCATAGAGACAATGCTCTGAGGTCAGACATCTCGCCCCTACCCTTACTCAGTGATCAGTGTCCCCAGTGGCCCAGAACAGGGGTCTCCCATTATGTGTAAAGTTCACAGAAGGTGAAGCCAGGCAGCCAGCGGCAATCCCACGTGTAGCGCTTGACAAGGTCTGACCTCAGAGGATGCACATCCCTCCGAAGCACGCCTTCAAGTTCACAGCCCACCACTCTTGGCTGGGCAGGACGCCTCACTTGCTTCCATGAGGGAATGACTCAAGGTCATTACCAGTCATCATCTAGCTCATTGAGGCACCAATCTATTCTCTCCTTTGTTTCTAGGATTCCAGTTTTACTAAGTCCCACCCCCACACCCCACCCCCAACTTCCTTGTAGTCTAGAGACTTCTAGGAAGGTTTTTCTTCAGTGATGAAAAGGAAACAGCCACTGCTGACAATACTGTTTCCAATGTGGATGAGACCTTTGGAGCTGTACGAGCTGGACTGCAACCACGGGGCAATGAGCCCAGTCAGCCCAAACTGTGGCCGGTCCAGAAGGCCGGGCTCTTGACAGTACAGCCAAGGCACTCTACCATATTTGGACAGTTTGTTTCCAGAATTTCTGTTCTAATGAATAAGAGTGCTAGTTAGGAGCATTCCACAGTATAGCAAGCTTCCAGGGGGAACCTATATACCCAGAAAGATTGTCCTCAAAGCATATAGGAAAGTACAAACAGGGAGTGGGTAACTCCAGAGATGAACTCTGTTCTAAGGTGGGTCCTGTGTATAATTCCAGCTCAAAGGATTAGATGAAAACGAAGAGGTCGAACATATTGACAGAATTATTTTTCATGGTTTAACTTGTTAATGACTGTTTCCTACACACACACACACACACACACACACACACACACACACACACACACAACATTAAGAGGAATAAAAATCTAAGGTATTCAAATTGAGAATAATGGCTTTTAAGGGGGGGGCTAAAGCTAGAAAAACATAAAGAAAAATATGTATCAAAGAAGGTACTCATGGGTGAACAATGCTGTTCCCAGAAGGCACAGGTTATTAAATGTAAATCTCAGTGCTAGCCCAGGATAACCTCTACAAGACAGGTCAGGGAGGTAACAGGCTATTTCTATGCCATTGTTTGCACACCCTAACTAGATGGCGAGACCACACTGCTGAAGACTAGTGTTTAAGTGTGAGTGCTCAGCTGCAGAAGAACCGTCTGTATCAACCACACCTCTCCATCCAGGGCTCAGGGAGCATCACAGAAGAAGGGCAGAAAGAGTACTGGGTACGGAGGGAAGCAGTGAACTGTCTGTTCACTTCTAGACATTACATGCTGATGCACACATCAGCTCCTGGCAGCTGTGGCTACCTGTACAAGATCAAGCCGGACAAAATCCCAGCAGACCAGGAAGAGGCCCTGAGGCTCCACTCTTGGTGGAGGAGCTGTGGGCAGTTGCTGCTCCTGAGGAAAAGACTAACTCTCCTTTGGGGAACTCGGCCAGTGGTAAGTTGCCCATGCCCATGTCCCTCACTCACGAGCATCTGGGCAGCAATAATTGGCTCGGGTTAGTGACGACACAAAATAAACATGAAGCAGGGAGAAAGACAGGATGAAAAAGACACTAGGGAGAGCTGGAGGAAGATAGTGATGGATGGACAAGATCAAAACACATTGTATAAATGGATAAAATTGCTAAGAATATATATATATTATATATATATATATAATGATTCATGGGGTTAGGGAGATTGTTAAGTGGCTGAAGCCTTTGCCACGCAAGCATGAGGAGCAGAGTTCAGATCCCCAGCCCCCACACAGTTTCCAGGTAACATGTTGGCTCTCCAAGCTGACTGGCTGTACTAGCCGAACTAGTGAGCGCCAAGCTCGGCATCAGTATCTATGGTGAAGAGCAATTCAGAAAGACATCCAACTTCAACCTCTGGGCTTTCACAGGAACATGAACATGTGCACATGCATGCAAGCTCACACAGACAGGAACATCCCCACACAGATGCCACACCCACATGAAAAAAAAAATCCACCTTTGCAAAGCAAGCAGGTGAGTTAAATTTTCAGGGGGTGGGGTGGGGAGTAGCACCCAAATGGTCTTATCTCGGGCAAAGATTTAAAAGGATTTAAGTAAGTTGTAAACGGTACAAAACCAGTAGAAAAAAATCTGCGAAAAACAGAAGAAATACAGACTTCACACAGATTCATCAGTGCTAGAAGAAAATAATTTCACTTTTGGTTGCAACTGAGAAGCCCAGGAGAGAGCTACACAGGGAGATTCCTAGAACATGGTTCTCAACTGCAGAGGGAGGAAGGGGAAGTCTGGGGACTCAGGGTCGCCTGAGTGTGATGCTCTCCCCCTCCCATCTCACTGAAGTTGGAAATTCCCGTCACAGCATGCAGACATCACTGAAATAAACCGGAAATAGAAGCCAACACCGAGAACCAGTCAGTTCATGACAGAAAACCCATTTCGGGTGATTTAAGGAAAACTGTGAACAGTTTTTATATTTCTTTTTCTAACATTATCATTAAATCAATGTACTGCATTTAGATATTTGAACATTATGGCCAGTATCATTAAACACATAGCCACTGTCACTTAAGAGAAATAAGCAACCATCCATATGCCCACCTGTTCTTTTGTTGAAACAGGGTTCTCTACATAGCTCAGGCTGGCATGGAACACATCATATACTAGAGAGCCTCCTGCCCCAAGTTTCTGAATGTTGGGATTATAGGTATACCCCACAGCCTCAGCCTTTTGTTTTTTTAAAGTTGTACATTCAATTTGGAATGATGGATAGTAGAAAAGAACTTATCACATTTTTCTGAAAGCCAGAAAAAATTTATTATAAGTTATACATAAAGCAATTTAGTTCTTCTGGGAAGATGATCCACATTTAAGATGTACTGAACAATAACAAAAACAAAACCTTCAACAGCAATGACAAGGGTAACAATGTATTACTAAAAAGTTTAACAAGGTCAATCAAATATAAAACTTAAATTTTCTTACAAAGTTTTATTCACAGGAAATTCATAGGTTAGATCCTTTGTGAAAAACCCATTTGAAAAGGTAAAATATTAAAAATAATTGTTCTTTTCCTTGTTTCCATTAATACAGGATATCTCTGCAGGTTTTATCTAAAGAAAATGTCACAACTGGAAAAGAGGCTCCACGAAGAGGAAAGGGAAGGAGGGATGAGTCACTGAGGCACGCCCCAATTCATCTTCTCTAGGACATGTGGGCGGAGAGAGCGAACCAGCCTTCTTCATGTTGCTTTTCCGTCTGTCGGACAGAGACACGGAGAGGAGTTAGACTCGAGCCCACTGGAGTCACAGACATTTCCACCAAGCACATTCAACGAAGTCACCATGTGCCTTGGGTGGCACTGGAGCGTCACCTCTCCTGGCAAGGCTTCTGCCCCACGGAGATAACCAAACAGCTGGCTGCCTGCTCAGCAGGCGCCCTAAAAAGAGCCCTATCTTTCAAAAGGAGAAATCCAACATTTATTCAAACCACAGGTACGATTTTAAACATGATGAAAAGAAGGTTATTGGAGCTTAGTAAATTAAATGATACGAAGTTCCATGAACGGTAACTATATCAAAAGATAACTTTCAGCTTCTCAGAATCTAAGAATCAGAAAGGACAAATTTTTCATTCTAGGCAGCTGGGGAAGCTAACTAAGGCAGTTACTTCGTTTGGGCTGTGTGCCTCCACTCTGTGATCTAATGATTTTCCCATATCTGTTACTGGCTTATCTCTGGAAAAAAAACAACTTTTACAATTCTAAAGATATTCTTATAATTTCCTATGATAAACACATATATTATCAACACATATAAAAATGCCTTCTGTGAAAAAATCTGAATAAACTGTAAATGTAAATATAAAACAGTTCTGGAGCAAACCAGAACATATGAAAATGTCCAAGGCATTCATTTATCCTCTGTGTTGTTACCTGTCTAACAGAGGCCCTCAGACATGGCACACTGGGATAAAGAACCAGCCACAGGTCTCTGGCTATCCCGAATTCCACCCAGTCACACCAACAGCAGCAGGACCAATACCTCATACCTATGAGCCCCTCAAGATCATGGCACTTGGGAGGCAGGCCTGACACCAATAATTCCTAGTCTTGGAAGACACTTGGAATCCTATCAAATTTTAACTTATTTCTTAATTACCTTAGAAGACAAAATGAATGTATCGCTTTTCAAATAGAGAGACAAATTATAGTATTTCTTTTCTCCATGGAATTTTCTATCATGTTAAAGACAACAGGAATAATAACTAAGAATGGAAGTTAGTCACCTCCACCCTCACACTCTTGACCCTACACAGTGATCTTATTTTATAACGTACCTTTGTTCTTGGATTAACAGGTGTGAATCGCCCACTTCCTGAGGTGGCATTTAGCGGAGAACAAGAATTACTAGTAGCCCCTGAAGATCTATCCATGAGAAATGAACAGAGAGTGAGGTATTACCACTAGCCATCAACAATTATGGGAACAGTTCTCAATATTGGAGAAAGGTTTGGGGACAGGTCCAAATGAGGTAAACCACTCGCAACACTCCATCGGCCTAAAACTTATAACTAGTAGTTTACCACTTAGAGTAGTTTAGCTTTACAGACGGAGTGGAAGTATAGCATTCTTGTGTACCCTCACCTCCATCTCTAAGTTTCTTCTATTACTAACATCTTTAAATGACTTGTGCACACTGCACATTCCATACTTGGGTTAATGCAGATATATGTTACCTTTAAAGGTTTATGTGTGTTCAGAAAAGAAAAGGACCAGACACCAATAAAGACAAGTAGCCCAGGTGACCCAGCCTCTCAGAATGCCTTTGTTGCAGTTTCAACAAAAGTCTTCATCCAGAACAACTTCAAAGCTGCTAGTTGAGATGGTCCAGCCTCACAGACTACTCCAGCTAAGACTTCAGGTAAGCTCTACACTTTCCCATCACACAGAGACTAAACAAAACAATACAGCTAGCTTTCCCAGGACTTGACCATTATCTCAATTTTCTCAGAGTCCCCTAAAGATACCACTGCCCAAGAGAGCAGGAAGCAGTCTAGAGAACACGACACCCACATTCCGAAGAGGTGGAGTGGGTGGTTTGTGGTCATTCAATGGATTATGGATGTTTATCATCATTAGGGGGATTGGTTGCAAATTGTTATTGCAACTAAGGTAAGGGAGGAAACTAAGCAAGGTAAGTTGGATTCAAGGATCTCATTCTGAAAAGAAGGATATGGAAAGGATGGCATAAAAGGGTCGATTATTGAATCTACTTTAAACTAAAAAGCAATTGTTAATCTCAAATATTTTACATTGGCATAGATTTTTGCATATTGATAATGGAGTATTTTCTCTGAATTTGCCAAATACAAATGGGTTGGGTATTATAAATGTAATTCTTACTTGGTAACTGTTCTTATTGTATATAGTCTTACTATGTTAAACCAAAAGCTTTCTTTTTACTTAGACAAGAAGGGGGACATGTGGAACATTTAATTATGCATAGATGTGTTGCCTTTGTTTAACTATGTAAAGACGTGCTGCATGTGTTATGTTGAGGAATAGTTCTCTAACTATGTAAAGATGTCTTGCTGGTTTACCTTGCCTGCCTAAGGCACTTGACTGGTCTAATAAAAGGCTGAACAGCAAGAGCAAGGAAGCAAGGCAGAACTTCCAGGCAGGGAGAGTGAGTTAGGAGGAGGAGGAGGAGGAGGAATTTAGGCTAGGGAGTGGGGAAGAAAAAGAGAGACACCAGGGAGATGCCAGGGGCCAGACAGACAGACATGGAGGAAGCAGGAAAGCAGGACATACAGAACAAAAGAAAGGTTAAAAAAAAAAAAAAAAAAAACCCAAGGCAAAACATAGATGAATAGAAACGGGTTAAATTAAATTAAAAGAGCTCATGGGACAAGCCAAAGCTAAGGCCGAGCATTCATAATTAATGGTAAGTCTCCGTGTCTTTATTAGGGAGCCGGTTGGCAGCCCAAAGAAAATTCCAGCTACATGTGTGGTACAACATGAGGATTCTGGGTGGAGACAGAAAAGCCTGGGAACTCCTTCCCGACCCACTTACCTCATGTGGCTCATCTTGGCCAATCAGTTTTGTGTTCTGTGGGGGCCCAGATTACTCAAGGTCAGAGAATCTGAGCTTGCTTTACCCAGCAGGGCTGCCTAAGGAGATGACTTGGCCACAGGCGTGGTTACCAGGTGTTTGGAAGGCTCTACACTTGGCTGTGTGGTGTGCTTTGATCTAGCAAGGGGGAGGTCTTTTGCCCCACCCCTTGGCATTGTTATAAAGAGCCCTTTTCAATAAGGACAAGGCTGGTGGGTACTGACCAAAGCTATCCGGTGTTTCTGTCTTTCTTCTTGTCGGCTAGGTCTCTCTATCTATCATTTCTTAATTCCTCTCTCCTGCACCTAAGAGCTCTTCAGAAGGTGAGAGTCGGACTCCCACGGTGCTGCTAGTCAGTGTGTCTGCCCTGGGACACGGCTTCTCCTGAACCTGTTAGACAGATGCTGGGCACAGAGAGGGCAGCACCCAGACACTGCTGAGGCTGCAGCCCTACCTTCTTGAACTGATCACACTGACAGGAGACCCGGTGTTGCATTTCGAACTCTCTGGAGCCTCCACTCCTGGAACAGACACCTCTATGGTTCGCTTTCCTTCTTCTAAAACACAGAAGTAAGTGTTAGTGTCGTTACTTTTCACTACTAAAAGCAACAACTTTGCTCAGTTTCACTATTACTGGAAAGGATACATTACAAATTCAGGTGTTTTTCTATCACGATGGTTCACAGAAACACTTGAGAGATGATTTTTAAAAGTGAACTGTTAAGACAAGAAAACTTCAGCTGTTTCTGTTCATTTGGCGGCACTCCAGTCCATAGAATGCCAGAATCTTCTGACAAGTAACAACAGAGCAAGAAGTGAAAAACGGTGAGGCCAAGGTATACTGGGGGGCAGGAGGGTGGGTGGAGAGAAGGAATGAGTGGGGTGAACATGATTAAGATGCATATATTTGTGAAACCATCAAAGAATAAAAAACATTAAATGTAAAAACTAAAAAAAAAAAGCTGCTCAAAAGTCTAATTTTTCAATCTGATTAAATTAAGTAGGGTTTCATTTCCCCTTACAGCCAGGAAATATCTGAATTTTAAGGAGGATTTACAGGATCCTCTATGAATAGGACAGATATAAAGTATTTCACTACTAAATGTTTGTCGACTGTTTGCCTACTTATGAAACCCTGAGATTTCACATAATTAGACTTTGCTCTGGCCCTATGAGAATCCATGCCTGGTACTATAAATCTGATCAAAGCCCCATGGCTGGAAAGGTCACAGGCAATGAGTAGAAGAGACTTTCTACTGTTGTCTGGCTCAGCTGTTAAGTCAAGCTGCCTGTAAATATCTGTATTCACACAGAGAGATGCTACTCTCGCCTTATTCAGAGCAGCTGGGCTCTGCAGTGAGCGATGGTGAATGCAGACTCCTAGCTGCTCCTTTAAGGCTCAGGGAAAAACATGGAAAGGGGGCAGAACGACTCCAACAGCAGGAAGACAGGGAGCAGGGTTGTCTTCTGACATCATGAACTCGCAGCAGCTGGGGCCCACGGCCTGTACTGGGCCTGCACAAGGGCGGACTGGTCAAGAGTCTGCCATGGAGTGGGAAGGGGCTCGGGGAGGCATACTCCTCTCTGTTGAACGATTGGCTAAGGCTGGATTCTGGGGGTGGGGTGGGGGTTCACTATCTTTAGTTACGTACACTATCCCAGGCCCTGTGGGAGAGTTTCACATCCATGGCCATTCAGACCACCCTTAAAATCAGTGGGTCACAAAAACAGGGAAAGGACCCGCAGGCAGGGGCTGACGGATGTGACAGAGAAGAGTGGAGGATGAGGCAAACCGAATATATTATACACGTGTATGAAACTGTCAGAGAACAAAGCCGACCAATTTTTAATTACTCAGTTATCCTACAAAACAAAAGTTTTTATCCATGACATATAACTGGTTCTTGTTTTTATTATCCCCCACAGGGGTTCCTATAAACCAAGAATTCTATTTTGGGTGTGTTGAGTACTAGATGGGATAACAGAAATGACAAGTCTGCTTTCTTGTTTGTAATTTCAAAACCTAAATCATTTCCAGCAGAAGTGAAAACTCTTCCTGGTGCCTTTCAGGTGCCCGCCTTCACCCAGCCACCCAGGACACAAGGATCCCTGTAAGCACCAAGGCTCGAGCATCCCAGGGACCCCGCTGACAGAGCCCTTTGGTCCCTCACAATCCGGGCCTTAGACGGGGCTCCATCAATACCTCAGAGGTAGCGCCATCCTTGAGGGCGCAAATTCATTTCTGGCTAAAGTCAACTCAGAGCCACTTCATTTAACCAGCACTCTCTGAACAGCACTGCCACAGACCACACTTTTCAGTCACAAGTAAGTTACTTAGGAGGCCCCTCTAGTTTTTCATACTCCTAAACATAACAAAATGATGGAAAAAATAAACTGAGGAGAAATGCTTTTCTGGTTTTAAGAGAACAATAATTTGTAATGTGATGCCAGTAAAATGTGTAGTCTAATTTTGACATTTATACTTTTTGCAGCATAGATCCTAAGTGAGACATACACTGTAATGCATATTTCACTTGGATGGTGTCGCCCAGGATGCCAAAGACTGGCTACAGAACAAGAGACAGCTTTCTACCACTATTTCTGTCTCCCCGACCCAAGCTGTTTCTTCTGGTACTAAGTTGGGGGTACTGGAACATAGTATGAGTCGATATGAACTCTCAAAATTGAGAGGGAAAAGTGTTTCTATCTATCTGGAAGTCAGGAATGGGTGACCCACCGGCCCAGGCTCTGAGAGGGGAAAAGTGTTTCTATCTGGAAGTCAGGAATGGGTGACCCACCGGCCCAGGCTCTGAGAGGGGAAAAGTGTTTCTATCTGGAAGTCAGGAATGGGTGACCCACCGGCCCAGGCTCTGAGAGGCGACTGAACGGGTGACGCGGGCGATGAGGAAAGGTTCAAACCAACGAGCTTCTGCTGCTCTATGAGCTGGAGCAGTTTGCTGCGGGCCTCCATGCTCTGCCGGTTCAACTCTGCAATCCGCTCCTCCATGCTGCTTGGCACTAGAGATTGAACTACTGGGAAATTCTTCAGGGGGAAAAAAGACATGAATTCATTATTAAAAAATAAAACCCAGTTCTGATTTTATTCAAAGTACCAGCAGTTCAATATTCATAGCCTTGCTATAAACACAGACGAACGATGGGGTAAAACAGTTTATAAATCAGAATGAAGGCACACACACATTCTTCTACTGCTACTGCCGTATGAGCACAGTCTAAGGGGACAAGGCTTCCCTACATCTCCTCCTACTTGCCTCAGCTGAACTAGAAAGAAAAGATAACACGAGGAAAGATGTCTGCCAGGGAGCCAAATGCCACACTCCTACTGATGACAGGCCTGAGCCGGGCAGACTACCCAGGAATATCTCTGAATTTGAAAAGGATGTTTTTGTTTTTTATCATTTTAATCTTCAAACATGCTTCATAAATTTGGCAAAATTATCTGGCAAAGACTCTAAAAATCCTCCCAGTTCTGCCCACGTGACAGCCTCTCCAGGTTGCTTCTAGCCTCAGAGATCTGATGTAAGAAGATCTGTGATTAGAAGGAGCCTAAGATACAGAGTCAAGTCAAACAGTACAAAACAAAGCAAAAGGTTACTCCAGGGATATAATGTAAGTTTAGTTTGAAAGCCTCAAGAGAACTGTGCTTTCATCATTCATAATAATTTCATTTAGCTAAATATATCCTTTTGTGGGAAAAAAACCAATCCCTGATAGAAATGACTAATTTGAAACTAATACCTATTAGGATGTGGGGTTTTTGTTTGTTTGTTTGTTTTGAAAAAAGTAAGTAAGCCAGTGAGGATCAAAGTCCATTTTGTATTTCCAATTAAAAAAGAAAAAGGCTAGTCATGGCAGCAGTATTAGACTTCCCTTTCCAGGGTAGTATATGTACTATTTAGAAAGGGCAAAGGCTCAGCATTTAACTGTTGTTAACTTTTTAAAAGCAACAGTGGTCTGTTTCAAATGATCTTCAAAACTCCACAAACATCTAAAGCACTGTGCATGCTGCCGCCTGCCGGGGACACTTGCTCCTGCCTTGCCCTCTTGAGCCAGTGATAAGAGGCAGCTCCTCCCACCCCCACTGTCCACACCAAAGCCTTCAATCAGGATCTCAAAGCCCTTAGGAACTCAGCTACCTCAGAAGCCCCTAGTCCCGAGGCTGCCCACTCCTTCAGACTGCAAGAGCAGCCACCTCAGAAGACCCTGGTCCCCAGGCTGCCCACTCCTTCAGACAGCAAGAGCAGCCACCTCAGAAGCCCCTGGTCCCCAGGCTGCCCACTCCTTCAGACTGCTCGAGCTGTTACCACCCACTGTCAGATCCAGAGCAGTCACCTTTGCTCAGAAAGGGTCAAATAAAATATGCCCTCGACCAGGATGTGCCATGGACACTCCTGCCTGGAACTTAGATTCGCTTTTCTCTCCACAAACAATGAATAAAGGTTTAAGTTATCAGATTAGTCTACGGAGTTTATTTTACTTATAAAATTTCTCCACTGACAGGAAGACAGATCCACACGATCTTACTCATGTAGAGAATTTACAAAAGTTGATCTCATAGAAGCTGAGAATTGATTCGTGGTTATTGGAGCTGGCGGAAGCTTGCCAAGAACAGTTAGACAGTGTTGGCTGGATTTTCTTGTTGTTCTTAAGACAGACCTCATACTATAGCCCAGAACTCACTAAAGTAGCCCTGGCTGTCTTCAAATCCATGGCAACCCTGCCTCAGTCTCTTGAGGATTACAAGCGTTGAACCCCATGCTTGGCACTACAGTTACACAGGGAAAAAAAATCCTGCTCTACGGTAAATAAGAACAATGCTCCTCAGAATGTGACCAGATCAGCAGTCCTGGCATCACTGAGGGACTACTAGAGAGGCACCAGGTCCCACCCAGACCTACTCATGCACCACATTCCAGCAAGCTCCTCAGATGGTTCACATGCACATTAAAGTTTAACTGATTCTTTAAACATAATTTCTATAGGAAAACCCATTCTGTGTCCTAGAAAAGAGTTATTCATCAGTTAAGGGCCAACTACTTTTTCATAGGCCACATGAAGAGTAAAGTTACTTTCAATTACAATCTAGTTGTGCAGCAAGCATTCTATGTCCTCCGCATTCCGTATTGTTCATTTCTGGCTTGTCCTGAGCCTCCTACACAGTCTATCTTCTTTTTTTTTTTTTTTTTTAAATAAAAGGACTAATTTATTATAAACAACAACTTCCACCACTGAGGACATTCTAAACTCTGCCAGGAACTACAGACAAAGATCAAACACATTTTTTAAAATTATTCCACATTACACAGTCTATCTTAATACAGTCTACCTTAATACAGTCTACCTTAATACAGTCTACCTTAATTCTACTTGCTGCAGTCACATGCTTTTTCTTTCACGTTGTCTTATTTAGTGCAACACAAACTAACAGATAAGCTTTATCTATCGTGTGAGGAAGACATAGCAAAGCTATAGTCGCTTCTGGAAAGAAATCTCTTTGGATGCCTGTTACAGCCTGAATATGCAATGCACCACCAGCTCACACATGGGGGCCTGCTTGCCAGCTGGTGGGCTTTAGTGAATGGATTGAGCCCCTGAAGGATCCATAGTATTATGGGAGGTGATGAAAAGGAGAAGGTAGGGCTTAGCTGGAAGAATTTGGTCACCTGGGACACATCTTAAAGAGATGTGCCTTGTCCTCTGACCCTCTGGGCCACCATGAGATAGTAGCCTCTGCCATGTGTTCCTGCTACCGTGATACTCTGTCTAACTTCAAGTCCAGAGCAGTAGATTCTGCCACCTGGAGTAAACCCTCTGAAACCATGAGCGAAAACAGTCCCTCATCCCTCTGCTTAATCTGTCCCAGCAGTGAGAGGTCTAACAGTGTCCTTAGTCTTTGTTGGTACTTACAGCAGGCAGGTCACCGGCACTTCCCTGTTTGCTCGGCTCCCGAAGTCCATCCCCTTGCTCTCCCACCGACCGGGTAATATTATTCAGGTGTGCCTTGATGGCCGAATTCTGCAGCGTCAACTCGGCAATCCGTGCCATTATGTCCTTCCTCTGTGCCAGTGCCTCGTTTGTTCTAAGCTGCTGCCCGTCTCCGAGCACTGGGGGCTCTTCGGGGAACGCAGGATTTCTCGACTGCTGAGTGGTGGGAAGGGAACCGCAAGGGGGCTGGGACAGGCTAACAAACGGTGCCTGAGTTTTGTTCTCCAGATCTTCCCCCATGTGAGAAACCCTCCACCTCTGAGTGAAGAGGCGATTTTCCTCACTTGAGTTCTGAATGTCTGGATCAACAGGCAAGGTCTTCTTTTCCCAGTTCTGTCCTTTCTCTATGACTTCCACAGTGGGGGGGATTCGTGGAGCAGGGCGGGTCTGAACCGTTCTCCTCAATACTGCGGACGAGAATTTAAGACAGTCATAAGCATCCTGTTCTCCATAAACTGGTACTAAAATCAGCACGTCAGTCTGTCATGGTAGTCAGGGAAATACTTCAGTAGACAGGTTTGGCTTCTGAGTGCCTAAGTTATTTTCATAAAGGAGTATGTATAATCAAGTCCAGAAACTTTCACATTCCTGAGACCATGCACTTTGACACATATAACTCCTATCCAGGAATAGTGATGCATGCCTGTAGTCACAAATGAGGAGGAATGATCTTGAGTTAGAGGCCAGCCTGAACTACACAGTGAGACGCTAGGTGGAGTGGGGGAGGAAAAAAATTAAATAATTACTATAAGAAATAAAAATCTAATCTGAACAGAAATCATAGCTCAAAGCATATTTTCTTATTCTAGACACAATTAATAGCTCCTCAGGCCCCCGAGAAAGAAATATTAAACTACATAATTAGCATTAAAGTAAAAAATTCTCATATGCTAGAATAAGAAAGCTGGGGTCCAGAAGAGGAATCTTAGCCCAAACTTCCCCCCGAGTCAACGAGGGGTGGTCAAGCCACCAGCACCCGACTCTCAGCCCAGCGCTGTCTCCATTAGACAACACCCTATTTTATCACAAACAGCAAGGCACAAATCCAGTCGCCAGGATTTGCCATGTTCTTCAGCCTCTGGATCCTCTTCAGTCCTTTACCGAAAACTCATCAAAGTACAGACAATGTGTGAAACTCTGAGTCCCAACAATCCAAGTCAGGTTCTACTGCTCTGCGAGAAAATAGCAGTAACTCTTAAAGAAACAAAAACCCATGCAAAATAGGGACGGAAAAGCAGCTCCCAAAAGGGAGCTGGGAAGCTGTCTCAGCAGTTAGAGTCACAAGCACACAGGCTACAGTCCCATTCTGAGACTGCACAGGAGATAACAACTCCCCAAGGCTGGCCTCTGAGTGCCACATACAAGCCATGGCATCCACATGTCTACACACACACACACACACACATTCTCTCTCTCTCTCTCTCTCTCTCTCTCTCTCTCTCTCTCTCTCTCTCTCTCTCTCTTCCTCTCCCTCTCAAAATTAGTTAATAACATTTACAAAGGAGGTGGAGAGTGATAAAGGAATATACTTAACATTGTTGACTGTTGGCCTCCACACAGGCACACATGGGTGAGTGAAGTACCCAATACACACACAATAAACAAAGAAAAATAATTAAAAATATTTGTTTCAAGGACCAGTAACACACAGCTCAGTGGGTAAAAGCACTTGCCACCAAGCCTGATGACTGGAATGTGATACGCAGGACCCATATGGTGGAAGGCAAGGCTCCACTACCACGTTTCCTCTGCGTGTCAGGGTACACATGTGTATACACATACATAGTTGGTCACCAGCTGCATGCCTTTGAAGAGTGTATTTTTTCCACATCCTCCTTCTCCTTCTGTCTCTGAGATATCATGAAGTGAGGGGTTTTCCTCCCCTGTGTCTTGTTCTACCGCTGCTCAGAAAGAACAGAGCTAGCTGACCATGGACCACTGAACCCATGAATGAAAGTAAGTTATCCAGTGATTTTCACAGTGATGCAGGGAAGGAGGGAGGCAGGGACACACATGACACAGACGACACTACCCTAAAATACAAGTGTGTGTGTGTGTGTGTGTGTGTGTGTGTGTGTGTGTGTGTGTGTATTCAACACATTATACACACACACACACACACACACACACACACACACACACACATATATAATACATCATATGAATGAAGGGCAAAACTCACAGCTTCCGTGGAAATGTAGAAGAGCCATGCTTACCATCCTGCAGAGGAGAGAATTCCGAGTTGCTCTTCTGCCGGGGTGGTGTTAACATCACAGCTGGCTCGAAAATATGTGCTGGGAAATTACTGGCCAGATTCAAGTTCTCTGTGGGGGTCGGCCCCTGAGAGAGTTTAACAGGCAGCTCTTCCTGTGGGAAGTCAACGGCTTCTTCCCCTCTGAACATCAATGGCATGGAGACATTACTGCTTACAACAGGACCCTCTGAGAAAGGTAAGAGGACATTAATTTGAAAGGAACAAAAAGGCTTTATGAACACCTTTTAGGTATTTGGTCTATTTTAAAATTTTTATCTATTTGTTTTTTATTTACATATAAGAGAGAGAGAGAGAGTGTGTGTGTGTGTGTATGTGTGTGTGTGTGTGTGTGTGTGTGTGTGTCTATTCAAATGTACACCATATGCTTTCAGGAGCTCACAGAGGCTAGAAGATCCCCCTGGAATTGGAGTTACAGGCAGTTGTGAGCCACCACAGGGGTGCTAGGAACTGAACCTGGGTCTTCCGCAAAAGCAGTAAGTGCTCTTAACCACTAAGCCATCTCTCCAGCCCCCAGATATTTATTTTTAAATGCATTTAAGTAGTGTGAAAGTTACCAGGTAACTTGGTAGGTCATCATTAACAGTGTGGTGCATTCCATGCTATTCTAACAGAGTTGTAAGACTGAGACATAGAAAGATGTGAACCAGGTTTCACCTACATGGCTTTTATGACTTTCCCACAGGCAAAGATGAGATTTCATAAGAACCTTATAAGGTACCATAACCCCTGAATTTCTCACCCTTGAGTAACTAAAGGTTTCTCAGAAGCAAAACTTAACTCACCAACATTATATTAATGAAATAATAATAGCAAAGCCCACAAGAAGACAGTGACCATGTATAAGTTATATTTTAGTCTGCCACTTCCTCAAATCCATCAGCTCTAGCTTCTTTGTTATTTAATGACAGTCTGGGAATAGTAAGAGTCCACCTACCTACATTATCCATAAGTCTTCTACCCAGAGTTGCCCTTTCTGATGCTTGACTTTCTTGTCTGGAGTTATTTATCACAGGACAGTTCTTAATGATATGTGTGAGCGATATAAGCTGCTCGTCTGTAGAGACCATGTACTGCTGAAGTCTCGCCTAAAGAAAAGCACACATCACTGGTATAAGAGACATCAAACCATTATCTAACAAGTAAGCCATCCGGAGGTGTGTGTGTGTGTGTGTGTGTGTGTGTGTGTGTGTGTGTGAGAGAGAGAGAGAGAGAGAGAGAGAGAGAGAGAGAGAGAGAGAGAGAGAGAG